ATTTTGTTAGATGTTAGGAAGCTACACCAGCTTGTTTCTTAGGTCCATTTGATTGGAAAATATTTTCTTAACCCTTTACTCTGAGGTAATGTCTGTCTTTGAAGTTGAGGTGTGTTTATTGTATGCAACAGAAGGATGGATTTTGTCTTTGTATTCATTCTGTTAGCCTTTTTTTTTTTTTTCCTGAGACAGGGTTTCTCTGTGTAGTTTTGGCTGTCCTGGAACTCACCTTGTAGATCAGGCTGGCCTTGAATTCACAGAGATTTTCCTGTCTCTGCCTCCTGAGTACTGGGATTAAAGGCATGCACCACCACAGCCTGGCACCTGTGTGTTTTTATAGGCAAATTCAGTCCATTGATATTAAGGGATATTAATGACCAGTGATCGCTAGTTCCTGTTATTTTTATTTTTATTGTTGTTGTTGGTATTCTGCATGTATTTCCCTTCTTTTGTATTTGCCAATATGGGATTATCTATTGCCTATGTGGTTTTGTTTTGTTTATTTTTTTGGAGGTGTAGCTAACTTCCTTGAGTTGGAGTTTTCCTTCTAGTACTCTCTATAAGGCTAAATTTGCTGATAGGTATTGTTTAAGTCTGATTTTGTTTTGGAATTGTTGTTTTCTCTGTTTATGGTGACTAAAAGCTTTGCTGGGTATAGTAGTCTGGGCTGGCATCTGTGGTCTTTTAGTGTCTAAATAACACCTGTTTAGGACATTTTCATGGAGATGCTGGGTGCAATTCTGATACGCTTGCCTGTATATGTTACTTGGCACTTTTCCTTTGCAGCTCTTAATATTTTTTCTTTATTTTTCATATTTAATATTTTGATTATTATGTGGTAAGGGGACTTTTTTGGCCCAGTCTATTTGGTGTTCTGTAAGCTTCTTGTACTTCCATAGGCATGGCCTTCTTTAGGTTGGGAAAGTTTTCTTCTATGATTTTGTTGAATATATTTTCTGTGCCTTGAGCAGGACTTCTCCTTCTTCTAAGCCTAGTATTCCTAGATCCAGTCTTTTCATGGTATTTCAGATTTCCTGGATATTTTATGTTTAGTATTTTATGTTAAGTAATGTCAGATTTAATATTTTCTTGAATGATGAATGTCATTCCTCTATCCTATCTTCAAGGCCTGACATTCTCTCTTCCATCTCTTGTATTCAGTTGTTTATTTTTGCATTTGTAGTTCCTGATCATTTACCAAGATTTTCCATTTCCAGAGTTCCCTTGGTTTGTGTTTTCTTTATTGCCTCTATTTGAGCTTTTAAATCTTGCACCATTTCCTTCATTGGTTTGATTGCTTTTTTTCTTGGTTTTCTTTAAAAGGGTTTGTTGATTTCTTCCTTTTTTATATTTCCCTCCATTTCTTTTTTCCAATTTCTATTAATTTTTGTCTCTTGGGGAAATGACATCTTTTCAATATTAAAAGAAGCAGCCAAATCAACCTGGAAGAAAATGACAGAAGCAAAGAAATCACCAGCCCTCTGGGGAAGGTCTCAAACACCCAGGTGGCAGAGCACCTTTCCAAATTTGGGTTTAAGTGGATGGGGCAGTTTCTGGACACAGGTCAAGACTCTGTCCTTGCCCCACACTCACCTCTTGGAGAAAGGAGTGGCAATACATGGAATACACCTCCAATGTTGGATTTGGCTCAGGAGAGGTGGGAGGCTGTAAATGGAGATAATACAGTTAATACCTTTCCTGAGGCTGAGAAATGAAGCAGGGGAAAAACTGTTGAATGAAAAAGCCTCAGTGCATTCCCCTGTCTAAATTGCCTTTACTGGAAAAACCCACCCCTCTTCCTAGTGCTCTCTACCTGATCCCCCTCTTCCCTTTCTCTGATCTACTACTTAATTTTAGGATGGTGGCCACTATCCTGGCTTTTAGTAGTGGCTAGTTCTACACAGGATCTAGAGCAGAACTCAGTTTCCTGGAGAATATATTGGAAAGATACTAACAATTATGAAAGATGGGTACCAGAAGGAAATATAAGGCAACACCCCAGAATGGTAGAAATCTAAGTTTGTCAGAGTGAAAAGAGAAAGGACACATTCCACAAACAAGTATTTATTGAGTACCTATTATATGCCTGGCACTGTTCATCGCCGCCCTCCCCCCCCTACACACACAAAAAACAGGACAGAGGCAGCAGAAAGAAACTCTGAAGGAGAAGAATGTGCAGCTGAAGAAAAGAGAGGGAACTAAGCTTCCTGAGGTGATTCAGGCCTTTCTGACTTAGGCAGCTCTTCTATCTCTTCCCCAAATCCTCTTTCTCTTCTGTAGTGTCATGCTAGTACTGGTGATACTCATAGACTGAGTCTGAGGCTCCAGTGGACACTGACGTGGCTGGGTATCTCATACAGAGAATGGCACTGGATGCTAGCTGGGACACAGGTGGTCTTTCCTGGAGACACTTCTTAAGATAGTTTCTGCAAGCTGCTGCTGTCAATGCTTCTGAACCCCTCACTCTCTCCCTTGGCTTCTGGGCTTTTCTCTCTGCCACTGTTGCTCTCTCTTTCTCCTGGCTTCTGGACCACTCTCGTGGCCACTCATTCTCTCTCTCTCTCTCTCTCTCTCTCTCTCTCTCTCTCTCTTGGATTCTGGGCCCTAAAGTAAAGTCTTTAAAGACAGAGTAAAGTAATTAAAACAATAAGCCATGTAAGAATAGAAAATATTCATGCAGTCTGGATCCTATATGCTGAGTTAAGTGTGAATTTTTAAAATGTTAACGTACAAAAAAAAAACAGCTGTTGAAAGACATTGGATTATAGAAACTGCTAAATTAAACTAACCTATAAATAAAAATGTCTTAATTTCAAAATGGAAGTTGGATAATGTGTTGCATTGGGGGAGAGGTTATGCTTTGTTTCCACAGGAAATGAAAGGTTGTGGATTCCTTCTAGATAATAGAGATCATGTTTGACGGGGTGAGAACTGAGTATCTTGGCTACAGACATGGAGGAGGAAGCAAAAATGACTACAGGACAGGTGGTGTGTAAGCTGGTCCCTTGACATGGGAACAACTCTGATATATATGAGAGATGATAAATCTTGTTGGGTACAGAATCCCTGTGACATATCCGTTCATATGGTATGGATAGAGATTTATATTATAGTTTGATTATATAGTCCAGACAGACTTATAAAGTTGACAAATGCCTTTTACCTGCTCAAATGTAAAGCAAAATTTATTTTAAATTGACTTTTACACACTGTACATTCCATACTTGTGTTAATTCAGATACATATGTTACTTTGGAAAGTTTATATGCTTTCAGAGCAAGGGGATCAGACAGCAATGAAAATGTGTGGCTCGGGTGATCCAGCCTCTCAAAGTTCCTCTGCTGCAGTTTCCTCAGAGTACTGTATTCAAAAAACAGCTTCAAGGCTGTTGGATAAGATGGTACAGCCTCACATATTACTCAAGCCAGGACTTCAGATAAACCTTTCACTTTTCCCATTGCACAAAGACTGGACAACAAATAATACAGCTAACTTTTCCAGGAGTTGACCATTATCCCATTCTTCCCAGAGTATCCAAAAGATGCCAGTGCCCCCTGACAACGGGAAGTAGTTTAGAAAACATGACACCCATATCCCCAAGAGGTAGGGTGGACAGTTTTTGGTCAATGGATTATAGATATTTGTAATTATTTAGGAGGGCTGGTTATAAATTGTTATTGGTTGTGGTCAGAAAAAAAAGTTAAGCAAAGGAATCCAAGGATCTCTTTTTGAAGGAAAAAAAAAGGGGCTATAGTGTAGAAATGATGGGATAAAATGGTGTATTGTTAAGTCTACTTTTAACCAACCCCAAGTCTCAAATATTGTATATTGATACAAATTCAAGGTTATTTTGTTATAATGTATATATGTTTCTATTTGCATTTAAGATATTGTATCTAAGGAGCTCATTTTAAAAAGTTATGTAAAGTTTTAGTCTTTGAAAGTTATTTAGGATAATAAATAGACTTTGGGGAGCCCCTTTTGAGGGTCTTACCTTGCCTGAGGAGTGGAGGGGAGTGGCTAGGGGCAGGTGGGATGTTGGGGGAGAGGGGAGGGAGCGGGAGAAGGGATTGACATGTGAAGCAAGCTTGTTCCTAATTTGAACTCATAAAAGAATAAAATAAAAAAATACAGGTTAGTAGTCATCTATAACTATCAAAAATAGTCACGCTAAATATGTTTACAGGGTCATACAGAGATATTTGATAGATACATGAGCTCAAACACTTCATAGGCCTACAGAATATGGCATTTAAAATGTTTTGATAACATAAGACTTTTGATGACAATGAGACATGTCTGATCCTGACAGCACCAATTTGCTTAAAAGAAAAAAGATGATGGGCATCAAAGAACCACCATATGGAGTTTGTTTTCTTTATGACAAAAGCTAACCATTTGGTCAAGAAACTGCCCTTTTTGACTGCTGACAGGATGTTGTCCAAAGCAGACTAGGATGACACAATGAAAAGTGACTGCAGAACTTTGGTAAGACAGGGTAGGAAAGTACTTCAAAAATTCTCAAATCACAGAAAAGTCTGTTAGATAGTCCAGGCCTGTAGGTTAAGATGGATGACCCAGCATTGCAGAGAAACTTTTGGTGACTTTCTGGGCAGCAGATGTCTGTCTGTCATTTCTATAAATTTGGAAGTGGTTTGCACTGCACCTCTTGTTTACTCAGGTGATGTCTTTGATGGACCTGAAGACTAGAACTCATAACTGTAGTTTTACTTGGTTATGAGAGAAGGTAAATTAAATACAGATCTTTGGACTCATCAAGATAAAATAAATGATGGAGTATTTTCTCCAAATATGCCCCAAAATAGACTGGACATTTTAAATGTAATTTTTACCTGATAATTGTTCTTATTGTTTCTAGTTTCATTATGTTAGAGTTAAAACCTTTCTTTTTTATTTAGACAAAAGGGGGAAATGTTGTGGAATGATCTTTTTGAACACTGTGAAGATTTGTCACTCTAACTGGTTCAATAAAAACCGGAATGGCCAGGCAGGATTTTCAGGGCAGAGAGGATGCTGGAAAGAAGAAGGATGGAGTTGCAAGGAGAAATCAGTCAGACACAGAGTGAGTCAGATACATAAAATGGGATAGAGGTGAAAGCTACATGGTGGAACAGAGATTAATAAAAATATGGGATAACTTAAGTTTTAAGAGTTAGGTAGAACCAAGCTTAAGCTGTCATCCACACTTTCATAATTGATAAGAAATCGCCATGTCATTCATTTGGGAGCTGGCAGGCAGGACAGAGAAAGACTAGCTACACGGTGACCTTTTAAAAAGAATTAGACAATGTTCCTTCTGTTTCTATTTTTGGATAATTTGAGGAATATTGATTTTAATTATTCTTTGAAAATCTTATAGAATTCTGTGATGTATACATCTGGTCCTTGGCTTTCTTTGATTGGGAAATTTTTAATTACTGCTTCTATTGCATTAGGCGGAAAATGATCTGTTTAAATTACTTATTTGCTCTTGATTTAACCATGGTAGGGTGTGTATATACAAAAGAAACTTATCCACTTCTTTTAGGTTTTCCAATTTGTTGGAGTACACATTTTTAAACTATGTCCTTATGGTTCTTTAGATTCCCTGATGTCTGTGGTTATGTCTCCACTTTTGTGTCTAAATTTGTTAATTTTTATCTTCCTCTGCCTTTTAGTTAATTTGGCTAAGGTTTTATCAATCATAAAATCTTTGATTTTATCAAAGAACCAACTCTGTTTCATTGAACCTTTTATTGTTTTATTTCATATTTTACTGATTTATGCTATGAGCTTGATTATTTCTTGCCATCTACTATTTTTGTGTGTCATTTCTTCTTTCTGCTCTAGAGCTTTCACATAAGTTGCTAATATGAGATCTTTCCAATTTTTATGTAGACATTTAGTGCTATGAAGTTGCCTCTTAGAAGCACCTTCATTGTGCCTCATAAGTTTGAATATGTTGTGTCTTCAGTTTCATTAAAATCTAAAAAGTTTTTATTTCTTAATTTCTGTTTTGACCCATTTTTCATTCAGTACTGAATTGTTCAGTTTCCATGAGTTTGTATGCTTTCCTTTTTTACTGTTGTTGTTCATATCCAGCTTTATTCCATGGTGGTTAGATAGAGTAAAGGGGGTTATTTCAATTCTCTTGTATATGTTAGAATTACATTGTGTCCAAGAATGTGGTCAATTTTGTTTCTTTTATGAACTTGCATACCCTGTGTTTTGTGCATAAATGTTTACAATTGAAGCATCCTCCTGGTGGATTTTTTGATGACTATGAAGCATCCTTCCCTATATTACCTGATTAGTTTCGAAGTCTATTCTGCCAGATATTAAAATGGCTGTACCATCTTTTGTCTTGGGTCCATCTGACTGGACTATTTTTCAGTTTTCTTTTACCCTGAAGTGATGTCTATCTTTGATAATATGGTGTGTTTCTTGGATGCAGCAGCAGGATGGTTCTTGTTTTTTAATCTAATCTGTTAGTCTGTATCTTTTTATTAGGTAACCAAGAATATTGATGTTGAGAGTTATCAATGAACAATGTTTACTGATTCCTGTTATTTTGTTGCTATGGTGTGGACTCTCCCATTTGATTTGCTGGTCTGGGATTTTTTATTCTTTGTGTTTTCTTGGGTGTGATTAACCTCTTTGAATTGAAGTTTTCCTTTTAGCACATTCTATAGGGATGGATTTGTAGCTAAATACTGCTTAAATTTGTTTTGTTTTTTATCATGGAATGATTTTTTGTCATCTATTATGACTGAAAGTTTTGCTAGATATAGTCTGGTGTCTGTGGTCTCTTGAGAGTTTGTAAAACATCCATTCAGGCCATTCTGTCTCCACTGAGAAGGCACATGTTATTTTAATGGGTCTGTCTTTATGCATTGTCGGTTTGCTTTTGTGTTTTTCCTTGCAGCTTTTTACTATTGTTTCTTTGTTCTGTTCATTTAGTATTTTGATTATTATATGTTGTGGGTAATTTATTTTCTGGTCCAGTCTACTTGTTTTTTATGTTTCATGTGACTTGATAGGCACCTCCTTCTTTAGGTTATATAAATTTTCTTCTATGATGTTGTTGGAGATACTCTCTTTTCCTTTGGCTTGAGTTTCTTTACATTCCTCTATTCCTATTATTCTTAGGTTTTATCTTTGCATAGTATCCTGGATTTCCTGGATGTTTTGTGCCTGTATTCTTTTTAGATTTAAATACTTCTTTGACAGAGGTCTCCATTTATTCTATTTTGTTTTCAATGCCTGAGATTCTCACTTCCATGTCCCATACTCTGTTGGTGAAGCTTGCCTTTGGTGTTTTTGTTTGATTTCCTAAATTTTTTCATTTCCAGTGTTACCTCAATTGTGTTTTCTTTATTGATTCTATTTAAAATTCCATGTCTTGAATGAGTTTTATTATTTCATTCTACTTTTTATTTTTTCAAACTTCATTAAGGTATTTATTCATATATTTTAATAGCCTTTAACATATTCATAATAGCTATTTTGAAGTTCATACATTTTTATTTTAGAAGCACTCTTATTTTACATATCAATCCCCCTTCCCTTGTCCTCCCATCCTCCCATGCTCCCCACCTACCCCCCCAACCCACCCCTACCCACTCCCCAAGGATATTGAAGCCCTCCACAGGGGACCATCAAAGTCCTTCACATCATTTGGGGGAGGGCCTAGGCCCTCTTTCGTGTATCAGGGCTGCAAAGTATCCCTCCATAGGGAATGGGCTCCTATTGTCCATTTGTGCACTAAGAATAAACACTGGCTCCACTGTTAGAGGTTCCATAGATTGTCCAGGCCTCCTAGCTGGCACCCACATTCAGAGGGCTTGGTTCGGTCCAATGCTGGTTCTCAAGCTTTACGTGTAGGGTCTCTGTGCTCTCACTAGGTCAGGTCAATTGTTTCTGTAGGTTTCGCCAGCACAGTCTTGGCTCCTTTGCTCATCCCTCCTCCCTCTCCACAGAAGTTCTTATTTTGTAATTCAACTATGTTGTATTTCTTAATACCTACTGTAGTAGGTTGCTGGGTCCTGGTGAAAACATTGTGTTGGGTATTAGTGGTTGTGTTTTTGTGCTAGTGTCTTGGCAACTATCTAGGGTTGGGATAATAGTGAATCTAGGTGTTGATATTCAGTCTTGTCTTTGTGGAGTGACTGTTCCATTCTTTGGTTTATTTTACCCTCTATGGATCTTAAGAAACTTGTGTTTGTGGGCTGCCTCTAAGTCCCTGGAAGGTATCCTGGGTAGAATATGTTTCTAGGTATTGGGAACTGTTATGAATGAATGGGGATGGGTATAAGGGTGAAATGAGAGGGTGTATAGAAAAGTATAAAGGTGGTATTGTGCAGAGGTCTATTAGAATACCTTGGAATTAAAGTCAGAGAGATAGGAAATGGCCCTGTAAGTGGACTGCTACAAGGCTGGGAATAAGACTAGGGCATCAGAGGAGAGTAAACACTATCAGACTGTCATGGTCAGAGTGTTCCTAGGTATAGAGTGCCTCAAAGTGTTGTTAACTAAAGTTCTGGTTTTAAGAAGAGATGAGGTTAGTGAAGAATATTTCTAAACTGTTCTTAATATTCTCAAGCATTATAGATTTCTTTTTATTTACAGGTATTTTCAACCAAATATTTTACATATATAATCACCCACCTTCAGAAAGTGGAAGGCATGAAATAAAATGGTAACTGATATATCTTCAATGCAGAATCTGTAGAGAGGTGTAGTGATGCCTAAGAAGAACACATAAGCATGTTTTAAATGAGAGAGTTATATTATAAGGACTAATGGGATGGAGAGATGTTAAAATAATTGAGAATTGGCTGTAGTAGCCATGGTTTTGGGAAAGGGACAGCGTGTATCAGGGCTGCAAAGTATCCCTCCATAGGGAATGGGCTCCTATTGTCCATTTGTGCACTAAGAATAAACACTGGCTCCACTGTTAGAGGTTCCATAGATTGTCCAGGCCTCCTAGCTGGCACCCACATTCAGAGGGCTTGGTTCGGTCCAATGCTGGTTCTCAAGCTTTACGTGTAGGGTCTCTGTGCTCTCACTAGGTCAGGTCAATTGTTTCTGTAGGTTTCGCCAGCACAGTCTTGGCTCCTTTGCTCATCCCTCCTCCCTCTCCACAGAAGTTCTTATTTTGTAATTCAACTATGTTGTATTTCTTAATACCTACTGTAGTAGGTTGCTGGGTCCTGGTGAAAACATTGTGTTGGGTATTAGTGGTTGTGTTTTTGTGCTAGTGTCTTGGCAACTATCTAGGGTTGGGATAATAGTGAATCTAGGTGTTGATATTCAGTCTTGTCTTTGTGGAGTGACTGTTCCATTCTTTGGTTTATTTTACCCTCTATGGATCTTAAGAAACTTGTGTTTGTGGGCTGCCTCTAAGTCCCTGGAAGGTATCCTGGGTAGAATATGTTTCTAGGTATTGGGAACTGTTATGAATGAATGGGGATGGGTATAAGGGTGAAATGAGAGGGTGTATAGAAAAGTATAAAGGTGGTATTGTGCAGAGGTCTATTAGAATACCTTGGAATTAAAGTCAGAGAGATAGGAAATGGCCCTGTAAGTGGACTGCTACAAGGCTGGGAATAAGACTAGGGCATCAGAGGAGAGTAAACACTATCAGACTGTCATGGTCAGAGTGTTCCTAGGTATAGAGTGCCTCAAAGTGTTGTTAACTAAAGTTCTGGTTTTAAGAAGAGATGAGGTTAGTGAAGAATATTTCTAAACTGTTCTTAATATTCTCAAGCATTATAGATTTCTTTTTATTTACAGGTATTTTCAACCAAATATTTTACATATATAATCACCCACCTTCAGAAAGTGGAAGGCATGAAATAAAATGGTAACTGATATATCTTCAATGCAGAATCTGTAGAGAGGTGTAGTGATGCCTAAGAAGAACACATAAGCATGTTTTAAATGAGAGAGTTATATTATAAGGACTAATGGGATGGAGAGATGTTAAAATAATTGAGAATTGGCTGTAGTAGCCATGGTTTTGGGAAAGGGACAGAGATAGGATAATGTTACCACACTTAGGTACTATCCTAGGAATTTATC